GAAGAGAGTGGAAAGAAAATGTATAAATTCAGATTTTTTGTAGGGGAGCTTTCTATCCTTCATTTGTATTAAAAACTTTGCAATTTCGTGTAGTAGAAATTACAGATGTTTTAACATGCATATAATTCATAACTCATTTGTCAGTTTTTGATAATTTTTTTTGAAGAGGGCGAGGACAAAATGTGTTAAGTCAGATTTTTTGTAAGGGTGCTCTCCTTCCCTCCTTTTGTACCCAAAGGTAGTCAAATTTACGGGTGCCACAACCTGTATATTATTCAATATTTATATGTTAGATTCTGATAGTTTCGTTTGAAGAGGGTGGGGACAAATAGTATAAAGGCAGATTTTTTGTAAGGGTGCTCTCCACCCGTGATTTTGTACCCAAAGTTTGACAATTTCTAGTAGTCTAAATTACAGGTGTCTTAATCTGCAAATTATTCAATATTCATTTGTCAGATTGTGATAGTTTTGTTTGAAGTGGTTGGAGACAAATTGTGTACAGTTAGATTTATTACAAGGGTTTTCGTTATCCATCCTCTTGAATTGAATGATTCCTCATTGCAATTGCATGTAGTAAGAATTACAGGATTTATGACTTGTGTATTATTCTTAATTTATTTGTTAGATTTTGATAATTTTGTTTGAACATGTCGGGGTCAAGCTATGTAAAGTCAGATNCTTTACCATAAAATAATGAATTTAAATCGTTTAGTGTCGAGAAGGAACCACCAGATGGCGATACAGCCTTCATTTGGACGTTACTCGGATTTTAACTTGCTTATTTTCCAAAATTTGCCTGCCAGAATTTGATGGCTTTGACTCTGTTGACCGAAGATAAAATATGTAATTATAGATTTTCGTTGATTGGGCACTTTACTCCCTTTTTGAACTTAAAACTGCAATTCTTGATAGAACAATTAGTGTTGTTATAGCTATTATAATCTGTAATATTCATTTCTCAGATTTTGATAAAACTGTATGAAGAGAGTGGAAAGAAAATGTATAAATTCAGATTTTTTGTAGGGGAGCTTTCTATCCTTCATTTGTATTAAAAACTTTGCAATTTCGTGTAGTAGAAATTACAGATGTTTTAACATGCATATAATTCATAACTCATTTGTCAGTTTTTGATAATTTTTTTTGAAGAGGGCGAGGACAAAATGTGTTAAGTCAGATTTTTTGTAAGGGTGCTCTCCTTCCCTCCTTTTGTACCCAAAGGTAGTCAAATTTACGGGTGCCACAACCTGTATATTATTCAATATTTATATGTTAGATTCTGATAGTTTCGTTTGAAGAGGGTGGGGACAAATAGTATAAAGGCAGATTTTTTGTAAGGGTGCTCTCCACCCGTGATTTTGTACCCAAAGTTTGACAATTTCTAGTAGTCTAAATTACAGGTGTCTTAATCTGCAAATTATTCAATATTCATTTGTCAGATTGTGATAGTTTTGTTTGAAGTGGTTGGAGACAAATTGTGTACAGTTAGATTTATTACAAGGGTTTTCGTTATCCATCCTCTTGAATTGAATGATTCCTCATTGCAATTGCATGTAGTAAGAATTACAGGATTTATGACTTGTGTATTATTCTTAATTTATTTGTTAGATTTTGATAATTTTGTTTGAACATGTCGGGGTCAAGCTATGTAAAGTCAGATTTTTTGTAAGGGTGCTCTTCATCCCTCCTTTTGTTCCCAAAATTTTAGATTTTCTGGTAGTTAAAATTACAGGTGTCACAATCTGTATATTATTCAATATTCGACTGCCAAATTTTGATAATTTCATTTGAAGACAAAATATGTAAGGACAGATTATTTATAAGGGTGCTTTTTACCTGTCCTTTTAAACCTAAAGCTTTGTAATGTCATGTAGTAAAAATTACAAGTGTTATAATGTGCATATTAATCATAATTCATTTGTCAGATATTGATAATTTTATTTGAAGAGGACGGGGACCAAATGTGTAAAGTCAGGTAGTTTACAAGGGTGCTCCCCATCCTTCCTTTTACGTGTTATTTGAAATTTATTTGTCGGATTTTGTTAATTTTGTATGAGGGGGTGGAAAAATGTAATGTCAGATTTCTTGTAAGGGTGCTCTCGGCCGTTCCTTTTGTACCTAAAGCGTTGCAATTTCTGGTAGTAAAAAGTGTAAGTGCTATAACTTGGATACTATTCAAAATTGGTTAGTCAAATTTTGATAATTTTTTTTGAAGAGAACAGGGACAAGATGTGTAGTCAGATTTTTCGTAAGGTTGCCCTCCACCATTCGATTTGTATTTTATACTTTCCAATTCCGTGTAGTTTAAATTATTGGAGTTGCAATATGCATATTATTTAGAATTCGTTTATCAGATTTTGACAAGAGGACGGGGACAAAAGTTATTAATAATTTTATTAAACTTTAGAAACGGAGGTGTTTTTTTGAATTTTTTAAATCGTATTAATTCTTTGCGTGTTAAGGTTGTTTAGGCAATATAATACCAATTTTCCCCATTTTGTAGAATTTTTGTTTGTTTTAATCTACCATTTATTAATTTTCTGAAATATGCTTGACTCTTGACACATTTTCTTTATATAGCCATTTGCTCAATGTATTTGCCATTATCCTGGTCAAAACCTTGTATCCAACATCTAATAGTGAAACTCCTCGGTAGTTTGTTCTATTTTCATCTACATCTTTATAAATTGGAAGTATCCTAGCTTTCTCCCAACCCTCCTATATTTTGCCTTTAAACCAAACTTGATTAAGAGCAATTCTCATCCATTCTGAAACCTCTCTACTTAGCGCTTTCATACTTTTAATTAGGATTCTATCCTCATCTCGCCAGTTTACTTAGCGCCTCTAGTATTCCTGACATTTCAATTTTTTTCCTCAAACTTTACTACCTCACCTGTATACTTCCTATTAATTTCTCCTCTTTATTCCACGGTCTAAGCTCCTCACCCGTAACCTGTATTTCCGTCTGCTTTTTACATAAAAAGGCCATGAAGTGTTCATTCCATTGCTCATCGCTTATTTCATATGATGCCTGATGAACCCTTTTCCCCGACATAAATCTATTAATTGCTCTCCACAACTCTGCCATCTCTTTAGCCTTGTCTATTTTCTCTCAAAGCTTCATCTCTTTTCTTTTTAGTTACCTCACGTTCTATCTTTTATTATCAGTCTTCCTCAACATCATCATCATAAGGTCGTCAGTACTAAGTCTGGTTGGACACGTACCTCAACTCTTTCCTATCGTGAGGTAATATTTGCATTTCCCTAAAACTAGAACAACCCACATCCTTAACTATTTGCGAACAGTAATCTAACCTAGGCCTGCCTCTACCCCTCCTAACTCCTGTTTCTGCCTCTAATATGTCTCTGACTAAACCTTCATGTCTTAGAAGGTGTTTTACCAACCTATCTCGCCTATTTTTTTATTGACTTCCATAGAGTCCTCTGTTCTCCTATTCTTTCTAACACCTCTTCATTTCTAACCTTTTCTACCCACGATATCCTCATCATTCGCCTATAACACCACATTTCAAAAGCTTCTAACCTTTTCTTTTCCGCTGCGAACACTGTCCATGTTTCGCACCCGTACAACGCCGCGCTCCAAACATACACCTTTAACAACCTTTTTCGAATTTCTAAATTAATCGTTCGCGAGCATAGAAGTGAGTTCTTTTAATTAAAGGCGATACGGCCCTGCGCTATCCTCTGCTTTGTATCCCTACTACTCCTTCCGCCCTGACTTATATGACTTCCTAGAAATCTAAAATCAGCCACTTCTTCTAATTTTTCGTCTCCTCTCTTTATATTCGCTCTTTCTCTACTTTTCCTTCCTTTGCATACCGGTATTTTAGTTTTAGTTTTATTTATTTTCATACAGTACTGGCCTGTCAATACCGCTTCCATTTTATTTAAAGCTACATCTAAGTCCTCCTTGCTAGATGCTAATACTGCTATATCAACAGCAAATTAAGCATAGCAACCTCTTGTCTCTGTATATCTATCCCTACAGTTGTACTCTCTTTAATGATGTTGATTGCGTTTTCATATTAATAGAAAACGTAACTGGTACGTGATCGGATTCTACTCTAGCAGTGACTTCTACAGCGTCAACTTTTTCATCAGAATCTCTATTTACTATAAGTATTAAGTCCAGAACAGAACCCTTAAAATTATTATCTCTGCCTACATAAGTAACCCTTCCCCCCTCACCGCCACTACATCTGCCATTTAGTAGTACTAATCCTAATTTCTCTGCTATTTTTATTAATCGTATCCCATTTTCGTTTATGTCACTGTCACTGATTCTCTATGTTTATCGTTATTTTCCCTTTCATCGATCACATTACAAACTTACCCACTCATCCATTCATATCACCACACGCAATAATTACTTTACAGTCTCCCATTTCCTGTTTTATATCTTTCTAAATACCCACTATTTTCCCACCTAACAATCAGCCTTGTTATATCCTATTTCCCTTATTGCACTCTTTATCTGGTATTTAAAATTGTTACTTAACTTGCAGATTTCCCTTTTTACCCTATCTCTATTACTACGTCAAGGTTTCCTAAAAAGCCCTTAATGTCTCTAAATTCTTTTGCTCCATGTGTAAATATATCAATAAGATTTTATACGTAAATAATACAAGATTTGATTAATATGTACACACATTTTTTTGAAATGCAATTTCTAGGAGGCGAATAAAGTCGTAATAGGTACACAACGTTTATGATAAGTTATTGTTGTTGTAGATATCTGAGTTTACGTTGATAAATCTTTATTTATTTTGACTCAAATATGCAATACAATTAAAGTACAATTTTTAACTGTTTACGTAAAATTTTCAAGCCAGTAAAAATGAATACAATAATGATAGTTTAGTTTGAATGTTATGGTCGAAATATTCTCCTAAATTCTTGTCTGCTGTGATGATTGTTTGTCGTTTATTCTTTAGGGGGGGTTAGCGGGGAAAGGGGACAGTTATGATGCGATCTGCTTTATTACAATGTATACTGGTACTAGTATTCTTCTGTTCTTGTGTTCGTGTTGTTATCTCTTGAGTTTTTTTTGCTTGGCGTGTTGACTAATATCGTTTGAAGGATGCTTTGCGAAAATGGTATAAATGCCAACAGAAATATTAGGACAATGATAAATAAAGTGGGATTATAGGAACAGGTATTTTAAAAACTGAATGTTTTTTTTTTAATGTAACGATAAGTACTATTAATAAACTGATTATTTATTAATAGTACCTAATTAATTAATTTTCATTTCGTTATGTAATTTTTTACTGAAATGAAGTTGTTTCTTTTTATAAAGATTCTGTTTCTCCTTTTGAAATACGGAATCGTTGTAAAATTACCCGTGCGTCTGTCGGTTTGTCACAGTTGATTTTCTCAGAATGAAAAATATAAAAATATTTTCAAGTTATAGCTTCTGAGCAATTTTTAAAAATATTCAAAAGGTTTATATACATTAAGGAATATATAGAAAAGATCTTCGCGGATTTTATGTTACATTTTCAAATAAATTAGAAATTTTCAAAAATAGATTATAATCTATTAGTTATAAGTCAAGCAAAATTGACCCAGTCTTGACAGTGGTCTTGGTCTAACTTATTCAGTCTTAGTCTTACTCAAATACTTCTAGTCTTGTTATTGGTCTTGGTCTTACTGATATAGTCTCGGTTTTGGTCTTGATGTTACTAATATAGTCTATACAATAATTGACATAAATGCTGAAATTTTCTTTCATACATGTGAGCTTGTCATGACTTTTAAAGAAAATAGTGCCGATTTTACCCATCCACCAACGCATAAATAGACCTTTTAGCGAACAAAATAGTGCAAAATACATGAAAGAAGTTAAATTATCGAAAAAAAAAATAGAGTTCGTTTATATTTTAATCATGAGTTATGCAAACATAAGAACAAAGAATACTTACTCCAAGGGCATTCTTGTAATTCCTTTCTTCAAAACGTGGTAATGTTTCTTTTTTCTTATATTTAGTGTTAAAATATTAAAACAAACCGAAAATTTCATATACTAAAAATGTTTTATTCCAAGAAAAGAATATACCAAAGTAGCTTCAAATAGTTTAACTCATAAATCCACTGGAAGTGATAATTTTTGGTTTAGTCTTGCGTATTTGGTCTTGATATTGCATATTCTGTCTTGGCTTTAGTCTTGGTTATGTTCGTTCGGTCTTGTTATTGCATATTCGGAAGAAGAAGACCAAGACTGCAAGAGCAAGATCAATTTTGCTCATCACTATAATCTATAAACATTAGAGGGCGGTTAGCGGGGCTTTTTAATTTTTTAAGCTTTTTAAAATGACAACCATTTTTTCATTGCCTATTTATGTATTTATGTTGATATGTATTTTATCTTTCGGCTGGATTGATCAGAAAGTTAGTGATCTGTTCCTAACAGTCTATTCTAAACATGGAATATTAACGTTGTTATGTTGAAAAAGTTGATAATGAACTGATGTTCATTTATTTAAACGTTTCTATAAATCTACAATGTGTTTAATAACATTGTTTAACGTAAGATAATTCAGAAACTTTGCATGTATATTTGTTCGGGTGTTTGTTAGGAGTGGCAGTTTTGCAACGAAAAACCTCATACTTTTGCGTTTTGACAGAATCAAGAGACTTCATTGAAAATACATAGTTTTATGGCACATGTTTTGACATGTGCAATATATTTGAAAATATATCTAAGTCTGCCGTTTCATATATCTATTAATTTTGGACACAAAGTTGTCGGAGCGTCTTTTATTAATTATTATTTATCTATGAGAGATTCACTTATTTATATTACAGCCAGTGTCAACAAAGTGCACATTTCTGTCATAAAAACAATCGCACATTCTAGTCACGCAATCATCAACCGCGGCAACTTCAGGAACTTTTTTGAAAGTAAATTCTAAAATAAGTAAAATGCTTAGTCACTCATCGTGGTGTCGGTTAGTTAAGTTAGGTATATGGATTGTTTACTGGTTTGTAAAATATTTATTATCTGCGGGTTCGTGTGGGTAAGTGATATTTGAAATTTTATATTGAATAATATTGTATATTATTAAATTAAATTGCAAAGAAGTGTTGCATCTCAGTAAGGTTATGTTAGGTACTTTTTTCTGTAGATATTGAATGAGAATGAGGTTATTATAAATGGTACCTCTATGACAGGATATGTAAAAAATACATTTTTTAAGATTTCATCATGTTTACCATGTTCATTTTATTAATAATATGTTAGGAAGCAATACAATTTAATTTATTTACTGACGTTATAAACCCTATCAGTGTTAATAACATGGATATGATTTATGGGTAATTTTTCTTACAAAAGTAATCAGTTTTTTACTTTAAGCTAGTTTACTTGCAGAAAAAAGATCGATAGAACAACCATAATTATATTTTTATCTTTATGTTAAAGTTAATTTAATTATACAAAATAACTAATACAGCAACATAAACAACTGGTGTAATTGGTCAATTTATTGTTTATTAATTAATATAAGTCGTCAATTTTCTATAAATGACTCGACATGTAGGTACGTTTAAAATTCAAATGTGACGCCATTCTTTGCTTTGCTTTAACACATCAGATTCATTCGGTCATTCAAGGAGATCTAATCGGTCGGATGAAATAAAATTATAGTTATAATAGTGTAGTCTGTGTAGTGATGATAGTGCTTGGATATTTTTGATAATTCGCTTTTATTTTAAAACCCCGTTATTGTTGTGGATAATCCTTTATAGATACTAAATTCGTGTAGGTGTTTATGTCTTGTTTACATATGTGGAGTACGCATTTTTTGTGAGAGATAAGTCCAAGGTGAGCTTAGGTCTTACTCGAAATTCATCAGTTTTTTGGTACAACTTGTGTTAAAAACATCTGTTCAATTCTGACGATTTTTGCCGAATGAAATATTTATTTAAATTGTTTTGTTAACAAAATTTTACAATCTCTTTTTTTTATTAAATAGATGGTACGTCAGACGTTTGAAATAGTCTACATCTTTTTTAAAAATGCCTTTCCTTTTAAACCTAAAGCTTTGTAATTTCATGTAGTAAAAATTACAGGTGTTATAATGTGCATATTAATCATAATTCATTTGTCAGATATTGATAATTTTATTTGAAGAGGACGGGGACCAAATATGTAAAGTCAGGTAGTTTGTAAGGGTGCGCTCCATCATTCCTTTTACGTATGTTATTTGAAATTAATTTGTAGGATTTTGTTAATTTTGTTTGAGAGTGTGGAAAAATGTAAAGTCAGATTTCTTGTAAGGGGTACCTACCCTTGACTGTTCATTTTGTTCCTAAATCGTTGCAATTTCTGGTAGTAAAAGTGTTAAATGCTATAACTTGGATACTATTCAAAATTCGTTTGTCAAATTTTGATAATTTTGTTTGAAGAGAACAGGGACAAGACGTGTAGTCAGATTTTTCGTAAGGTTGCCCTCCATTCTTTCGTTTGTATCTAATACTTTCCAATTCTGTGTAGTCAAAATTACTGGAGTTGCAATATGCATATTATTCAGAATTCGTTTATCAGATTTTGACGATTTTTTGAAGAGGACGAGGACAAAAGTTATTAATAATTTTATCAGACCTTAGAAATAGAGGTATATTTTAATTAGATAGATTAGTTTACATGGATTGCATGTGTGGATTGATTAGATAAATGTGTATGGTGCCTCGAAAGTATGAAATAATCTACATCTTTTTTAAAAAATAAATTTAAAAGAAATTCGGATAAAAATTTTTGGGTTGTTTTGCTATATTTTGATAACATTCCAATAGGTATTTTATTTCAAAAAGTGTCACTGGTACGGATTTAAACATCCATTTTTCTACATTATTTACATTCGAATTGACCTAATTTTTTGGCAAATAGTGCTTAGTTTCACAAATTTTCCGAAGTACAAAAAAAATACGTGCACTTATATGTATAAATTTTTTGGAGATATTCCTAGCGTTTGCTTCTATATGATGTGCATGTAAATATTTTGAATTTAAAAACAATGATTTGTAGAAACATAATGTGTTTTTGTTATTTTTTTACAGAAGAACAGTGGATTGCAGTCTCAAGAATCAACCAACGTTTCTAGTGACCTGATATGGTAAGTGATTTTTTGTAATGACTAATTTTTACCTATCAGTAGGTACCACCTACATTTACGAAAATATGAAATTAATGCTGGCTTCAAATATGTGAAGGTGAATTTAACTGAAATGATTTTATTTGAAAGTCAGTTATTTAAGATGGAAATCAAATAAAAATACATATATAGAATTTAAAAATTATTAATTGATTAATGGTAATTTCCAAAGGTAAAAAAAATTATGTTTAATTTTCAACTAACTTCAAAAGTTGGACTGTACTGTTTTGTGTGTATATCTTAAGGGTTCTTATCTCAACTAAATGCACTGCTAATTAGTTTTGGTGGTGCCGCTTTATTCTGCCCTACTGATAAGTATCAGCAGGATATTGCCGAAAACGAGCCCTTACAAGGCGACGAAACAACAATCATTCACTTCGCCACAAATTTTACCAATTAAAATCGCAAAAATTGTAAATCTATAACTTTTCGACCTAAATAAAAATAAAATTGTAGCTACACCTTTGGCTATTGTACTTAATAAATTAAAACTGGAGAGGTGGAAGCTAATTCTTCTGTAAACTGGTGATGCCAGTATTATTCTATCAGCATAGGACAGTTTTAAGAGATATAAAGCATTCAGTTTGTGTGACATCTATGATGCAACTTCCCCAATCACATAGTTCTAACTGCGAATCAAAAACGAATTTAATTTCAGTTTTTCCAGTTGATGGTTGCACTATAATAGTTTTGAGATGTATACAAAAGTTAAAAATATTCGTCGTTACGGTTTTTTTTTTTAGACTAAGTTGGTAAATACCCGTTACCCTTATTAAATAATTTCAATGACGGCAATCAGACGTATTCGACTACCGTGTACCTACCTCTAATAGGCAGGTGAAAAAACAAAAGGTTAACTGCACTGGGTCGCCGCACCGTAGTAGTAAAGAGAGCAGGAGTAAAGAGGTAGGAGGGCTTTTAGGGGTGCGCAGGGGCCAGCGGGGATCGATTTCCCTACGTATTCACTTGTAATATACGTACATATGTATAGAGGTGCTTACATGTACGATGTATTGAAAAACTCGCGATCGCGAATGCAGTTCGCGGTTGAAAACAATTAGCGATTAATGGAAGTCATTTTGCCCTTGTTGGCTCCGCCCTTGGGCGACGAGGGGTGTAAGGGACGCCTGTTTGATACACGCCCTTTTTGAGACGACGACGACGCCGCCGACGACGCTCTATTTTGTACTTCCCGCGGCCACCATATTAATGGTCATAATCTTGTCAATGGCGTAACATAAGGGGCATTTAAAGGGTATTCTCTCTTTCGACTTTTAGGTGTTGAATTTTTTTGAAATACTTACAGTTAAATCGTCAATTTCAATTATTTATTTATGATGTTTTTTTGATAGAATTTAAAAGGTACGATTAGCAAAAAAGAAACATTGCTATTTGCCATTTTTCAAAAAGTCACAGGTATTAAGGATTATCTATAAGTAGGTAATTATCAATATCAAAATTACAATTTCTTATACGTTATGCATATCAGTGTAGTCTTTTAATTACTGGTTTAATTGAAATAAAGTTTATTATCTCACGTTACGGTGGTAAGGAGCTAACCAGCTATAATCAGCGTTGCCAGATGAATTTCATCATTAAACATTTAAGTGAAATTAACTGTCTCTCCTCTACAAACTACCAAATCGAACCCAGGCCTGTGGTTTTACACACTCTATGTTACGAGAGATGACAGCAAAAACAAGCATAAGTAACTCTAAGGTGTTACAGGTATCCTCGAAACCAATTCTACATATGTACGAATTTCACACCTATTTTTTCTGTTCATATTTCTTGGAGATTCTTATGCCATAAAAAAGGATGCTTAAACAAAAGTAATGATTTGGTTTAAAATAAAAGATCGGTTCTATCTTTAGTTATTCACAAATATTTACAGAAACTTTCAAAGTGTAAGTAACCTTTAAACAACAAGAATTGAATTAAATTATAAATTAAATAAAAATCCCCTCTTCTCTAAGCTGACTTTAAATTCTTTAGGCCTAACAACGCTGGTCAAAAATCGAATGTTACTTAACATTTCTCTCCCTTTTAGTTACAGCTTGCAGAGAGGGCTGACGAGGTAAATTCAATTAGTCTGTCATCTGGTGAATACCTATATCCAAAAGGAGTCATTTTAATAAAAGTAATTTTAAAAAAAAAAAAAAACAAAAACCGATTTCAAGACTGTACCTACATGTACAAATTTAAACTAAAAATTAGAACATATTTTAACTACTTCAAAGCAAAGTGCATTACAGAACAATCGACAAAATCATTAATATTTATATACATTTACAATTTATAATCAGTAATTTTTGGTACCGATGCTAGTCAAGTGGGACAATCTAATCCTACCTTTATATCAATGATTTTGTCGATTGTTCTGTAATGCAGTTTTATTTGAAGTAATTAAAATATTGTTTTCTAGTTTTTAATTTAAATTTGTGCAAGTAGGTATAGTCTTGAAGTTGGTTTTTTTTTTCTAAAAATTAATATTATTTTCGAATTTTTAGTGTGTATAGATCTACGTTTCGGTTTTGTTGATATTTTCAAAAAGCACGGAATAAATTTCAATAAAAACTTAAATGGACTATCTCTGAAGTATGACCTAACCAAATAAAAAAAGAATCATTAAAAATCATAATTGACGGAGTAATCGCGTAAGAAACATACAGTCGAATTGAAAATCTCCTTCCTTTCTCAAGTCGGTTCAAAAGCTTTGAAAGGTAATCTATTAGTAGCAATCGACTCTGCTAAAATAGTAATTTTGAAATATTGTAAGCATATAGCACATACAGAATGCATATGGTAGAAGTTTGTCAATTTTTATTTTTATAAAATATCTTCACGATAATTTGTAATTAATGTTTGTTATATAACGTATGAAACTTCGTCGCTATCGGGTGTCCCACGACACCACGCAGTTTATTTGGTACCTCCACATCTTCCGTGTATTTTAACTTATTTTTGGAGTATCCTTTTTGTTTTGCCTGTCTTCTTATTCCCACTTTGGTACGCCATTGACGTTTACGGTATGATGCAATGAGGGAGTGCAACAAGCATGCTTTTGTATGCTAGATGGATGTACTTGAAGAGAAAGCTAAGAGCTGCCTGATGGTTGGATGGATATGCCTAACTTACCATGTGTGTATGCGAATGCATTTTTATTGGTTATGAAATATTCATGAGACCGGAAATGGCAGTTTTTCGTTTTTTAAAAGTGCACAACCAGCGGGTCGACACATTAAGTACTCCTTGTTTCATATTATGCTAACGAGCAGTTTTATTTAAACCATGACTTTATCTGCAGAAAAGCTACTTCAATGAGGGCTGGTTCGATAAAAAATGAAATCGATAAGATTGACATCTCGTTAATACGTAATTAATGTTAAAAATTTTTGTTTTTGTTTTATTGTTAATCTGCTTCCTTTAGGTATTAATGTTTTATCGTTATATATTTAGAAAAAAATTTGTTTGAAATTATTGACTTTACGTAATAAAGATCGAAAAAATCCCTTTAATGAAAATTTATCGTTGGAGATGGACCGTCCACGATTATTGCATAAATGAACAGAGGGGGTGTCCCTGAGTGTCTTAAAGTTGACCAATATTGATTTGGCTACTATGACTAATTCTTGATCGATTTTGATTATTAGGAAGTTGATTCCTTTTGAATCTAAAACGCTTAAAATAAGAGTATGGTTTCTTCTCGATCTCCTCATCTTCATTAAGTAAAATAGCAATAATTGCTAAATCGATATAAGTGAATAATTTTTAGGCATCACGACGAAATCGTGTAATGTATTATCTAGACGGATAGTGACAAAGCCGCCTTTTTATGTTTAAAATTGAATAAAAAGAAAGAAAATATTGAATAACTTTGACAGAACTTTGGCGGAAAAATTAGTCATGGAATCGATAAATTTGAATTAGTGATTTTTTTTCTTTATTAAATTTTCGACGAATTGACAGTTATATCATCATCCAAAAGATAACAGTCCAAATATATATAATTGGATAAACTTTGTGAAACAATATTTAATAGAAACATTTTGACATATAATAGTGGTTAATATTAAATATTAATGTGGAAATTCATTTTCAATTTTTCAACCCCCTATAAACTACTACTACTACATACCCTCGTCGGGAATCGAACCCGGGACCTTTGGTTTTACGCGTCAATGCTCTGACCACTAAGCTACGAGAGATGACGACAGCAATAACGACAAACCGACGGTTTAGTGGTCAGAGTATTGGAGCGTAAAGCTAACGCTCCCGGGTTCGATTCCCGGCGGTGGAGTGACAACAGAAATGACAAAATTTTCCTAATTAACCTGAGGTAGTTTATAGTGGGCAAAAAATTGAAGATGAATTTTCACATTAATAATCTTTAATAGTTTTTCTGTTTAATTAACAAGATTATTCATTTCATCAGTGAATGCGACATAATCAAAATTAATTTTATTGATAGAGAATCGTCAGAAAATTCGAAGTTTCGGCTCTGTATAAGTAACCTAACCCTTTCCAACTAAATGCAACATGACTTATAAAGATCTACCCACTTAAGATTTTATTTTTTCTCACAATCTTTAGAGATAAATAGGAACAAAAATTAACAGTTTTATTCACATTTTTCAAAACTATAAATATTAGAGACATGCTGGAATAGACTAGAATTTTTCTGTAAATTGGTTATTTAGTGATGGCAAAGCAAGCAAAGTCGTTTCAGGTTTTTTCCATAGTGAATTTATTCTGATTTTGATTCCTGACCAATAGGCAGTGAAGTGTCACCCCAAGGGTTCATGTTCTTTTTTACAATTAGTATTTTTGGAATATTCTAAAATAATTAATGGCAATAGGCTTTACTTGTTGAAACTCCAATAATCAATTAAAGGAAACGAAAGTTTCAAAAATATACATAACCATAACCTCAGGTGAAGATATTCTGATAAAAATTACTA